CGAAAATAATCCGTAACTTGTCATGATAAAACTATATACCAATCATCAAATCAATATCTTCAAGCACGAAGAAAAAAAGTGTGGAAAACTGATTTGCCGGACTAAAAACAAAAGTGCCATTCAAAGAAACAATGTGTTTGGTTTGAAACAGAATTAAAGTGACCTATTCAAATGTGAACTCTTTGACATTTTAATAAAGTCATGTTTGACTTATGTATCTGTCTTATCAAATTGCAGTTTAATTCAGCATCAAACCATGCTACAGACAACAAGCCTCTGTAATTTATTCCTGTTTGCAATCTTTAAATATTTCATAAAATGCTATTTCATGATCTTTACCTGTATTTTATTACATCATAAATGGCAGAAATTGTTTTACAAGTATTTTACAACTGCAAAACTGCATGACTCAGACATAAAAATTGAAGTTAACAAAAGCTAAGGCAACAATTTCTAAGTTTTACTACCAAGAAAAAGCATGTTCAGATGGTATTTTTTGGCCCAGTAAATTGATAGTATTAACATGAAAATAAACAAACTGTCAATATTTTTCACGATTTCAGTTTCAAATATAAAGAAACAATCGGTTCATTCTTTAACTGTCAAGTGACCTATCAAAATGAGGCTGATCTAGTTACTTTGACAACAATTTACATTCACATTATGGCGAGAGAGATCATTGCAACATATGAATAAAACAGATACATTAAATAGGCACCAACCAAAAGATATCCACTAATATGCACATAATAACATCTCCTAAACCCATTATTTAGACTTAAAAAAGTTTCCCAAACTTTTCTCCCCCACTCTCTCTATCTCAAAAGTAAATTCTATCCATATTCAGGAATACAAAGGTGTCCATGCAAGAGTTTTCACTAACCACACAGAAGGATAACAAACCACAAAAAAAAAAGTTTATGTAATGAATGACAAAATTAACATCATTGTTATGTACAGTATTATGTAAGCAGGCGTGAACTGTGTATGAAATAGATCATCTCTGTGGTGTAGAGACAGGAACAGGAAACCAGTACTGACAGTGTCAGTCAACTACATAATGATTGACACAAAAAAGGAACAAATCTGTCAAAATCTATTCAAAATGCAAGAAATGTTTCTCAGTGCATTGTCGAGAGAGGTGACAACCTGGTACAGTCCATGTCAACCTATTCAGAACAACAGGTTTAAGAATTTTTATATATCACTGTTATGAATGATTACAAAAGAAAATGTCAGCTTAATTTCTAATAAACCAAATTCCCAAACCACAAAGCCAATAAATTAAAATCTCTAGAAAAAAATTCTCTACATGTCTGTAAAAAATCTCAGTTCTGTGTTAATAGATCTAGAGCTTTTAACTTTAAACAAATAAAACACTCAAATCAAAGTGTTTATGCAAAATATGTCCATAAATCTGAAAAAACTCATTCATCTCTCATCATGTCTAAGAGCATTTCATAATAGTTATCATCTTTATGTAATAACAAAATAACTATACAATTGACACACCTTGCCTGGCATTTTTTTCTAAAATGAAATTAATTAAGAAATTTCTTCTAAAACACCTACTACTTCCTTAACTTCTGTGATAACAAAAGATTGCAAATAAATTCCAAGAACTCGTAAAACATTTTGATTAAAGTATATGGAAAACACATCTCTGTTGTAGACTACTCATAACTTATTCTGCTCCCAAGACTCCACCCATACAATCGTAATGTCACAACATTTCCTAGAACTATCAAGGTGACTTAATACATCTTTTCCTATTATATACTACATTCCTAGAACAATCAAGGTGACTTAATATACCTATTGATATTATGTATTGCCATCTACAAAAACATATCCTCATTAGATAGTTTCATACATGTGTGTCAAATCAGAAAAAGTTATAAACTCTCACAGCAGACGACAGCATTACGTCAATGAAATTAACAACAAAATGTGTTAATTTACACAAATGCACATTCCATTGTCATTTGACTAATTTACCGGTAATTAGTTGTTTTCAGGTAAAATATTTACTACAAAATGTTAGCAGATTTGCAGGGTGGCTCTAATAACATTATGACTTAAAATATTGGCAGAACTCATTTTGAACACTGTATAATTACCAGAGAGTACTTGGAAAAAGGTAGACTTGCTACAATTCACTTTCTTTTATTTCTTTCTTACTAATTTATATGTTTCCTGAAAACTGGCACGATACTAAATGCCCAAGTATACTGATTGCTTCCTCTGCACTGTCAATATAATGGTAATCTCTAAGTTATAGCAGTAAATTTGTTAAAGGGGTAAAATTGAAAAAAAAAAGAAAGAAAATTAGGAAGGGACATGTAGCAAGTCTAGGAAATAGGCAATAATAAAAATTTACGGAACTTGATGACAAAACATACATTTTGTGTTACAGCAGAAACCATTCATCTGTTAACTATTTGTTTTGCCAATGTCAAGTTCAATTTTATTTATATCAAGATCTACTAAAAATGTAAGAATATAAAGAATATGGGGTATATACAGCATTGAGACAGTAACCAAATACCCCCCCCCCCCCCCCCCAAAAAAAAAAAACAAACCCAAAAGACATCTACATAGGAATATACAGTCTTCAATAATAGAAAATAATTGTCCTTACTAAAGGTCAAGCTCTAAATTCCCAACCAGGGTCACAAAAGTTATGAATAAATTCTAAAGTGACGATACGAGATATTTCACATTCATCCATTGAAATGCATTTCTAAGAAAAGCAAATATTTCTCAATTTCTTTACAACAGTAGTATTAAAATTTTTATGTAAAAGAGACAGGTATGACTTCAAATCCTGCACATATATATGTATTCATTGTAAGTCTTATTTAACATTTTCATTCTGGTTTAACATTATGATTGCTGGCAGTTGTTTCCACAGCTGACGCTATTTCAGCAGCATTGTTGACATCAATTTCTGTTTCATAAGACTTATCAATCTTCCCACAGAACAACAGAGTCAATGGGGTATTCCCCCCACATGCTTCTTGGCATAATAATTGTAATAGTGAGATGAAGAAACATAACATGCCAACACTTTGGTTTACTTTGAATGCCTGCAAAATTGTACAAATTGTCAACAGTAAAGTGCAAATACTTGACACTAGAAGCCAAAATTCAGCACTAAGTCATATGGCAAGAAAAACCCTGAAAATTGACCTGCAGTTATCAAACTTTTTCTATATTATACCTTTTTTGAAGTGACATTTATAAAACTATTAAATGATCTATATATACAGTCTATGTTGACATGTAATTTTAGTTAACATGGGCAAATTAAGAATTTTCTACAAATTACAAAATAAGAAAATCCTGTATTTTATATGTATATCTTTTGTAAATTACGGTATATAATTACTAAAATATTCAAATAATGGTTTCCATAAAAGAATCTCAAGTAACCTTATTGTAGCTGTTGCTTTGCACATAAATATGCAATAACTATATTTCATATCCAGATTTTGGAAAGAAACAAGTACTTTTTTTCTGTAATTCTTAGATGATGATCTTTATTTAATTTACAGAGGGATATTATCCAGGCAAGAAATTTGTTTTTTTTTACACAATGCCTATTTTTTGGCAGTATCTAAATATCTATTTGTGGTTTGATAAAAGCTTAATTGAATATATTTCTTGGTTCGGAAAACTGCCATTTAGACACCTACATATCTGTTTCTTCATTTTCTCCAAGTACTATCTTGCAAGTAAACAAGAGTTGTCTCCTCATATTTTCTATTTGTAAGATCAGATTTACCTCCCTTTTGATATTTCACAAACTATACTTGAGAAGTTCTCAACACATTTGATTGAGGTTGAAAATGGGCATACAAGTTTGGCATCATAAGTTTCATGCATAAAATATAATTTTTCTATTAAACAGGTAAAATACAGATGGTACTTTTTCATTAACATTCTATAAAATTTGTTTGAACTGAAAATCAAACTTTTAAAAAAAATATACTAACTATTTCCTGTTGGATTCAATACTTTGCAATTATAAAAAATATTCGAGATTATAAGGCATCAATTATAACAATTAATATATGTTAATTAATAAATCAAATATGAAAAAAAGCCTGATAAATTAACAACACATAATTTGTATCCAAACACTAAATTTGCATGCACAAATTTCATATTCAAGGACCTCATGTGAAAACTGACTATAACCTCATGGATGAAACCATTAATTTTGATAAGTCACATCCAAGATCTTATCTTGTGACAGAAAAGAATAAAAGGAAAGTTTGAATCACCTGTAATGACCAAGAAACTAGAAAGTTAGAATGTTACGATGGAACTTTATGGTAGACCCATCATATATATTGGCTACATCATGCATGAATAAACTGCTTCGCTGAGCGCAGCTGGATACGCCCGCAGAGGTCCAACCCTGAACAGTTGGGGCAAAAATGGACACAATATTCAAGCTTGATACAGGTCTGAATTTGGATTGTAATTAAATATTTGATATATTATAGGTTTCTGAATAAATGTAGTCAAAGAACTTGAAATTGGTTCTATGAAAGATTTCTTGCTGTTGTGCAATACACTGTGCTGTTGCGTAATACTTAGTTAATCTGTTGTCAGACTATAAACAAATAAAATCTTATAACTCGGAAACATAAAATCGAAAATTTATAAAAATCAAAAGGGAGCTTACAAAAATAGATATAAACAATTTACCAAAGTTTCATAAATGAAAGCATTTTTGAGTTATTGTCCGAAAACTGGAAAATCCCCCCTTTTTTAATGAATAAAACCCCAAAACTCGGAAATGGTAAATCTGAAATTTATAAAAAAACGAAAGGGAGCTCACGTCAATAGATATAAACAATTCACCAAAGTTTCATGCGTATTGGTTAAAGCGTTTTTGAATTAATGTCTGACATGTTGACGACGGACAGACGGTCAATGGTATACCATTATACCTCCCGTAAATGGGTGTATAAAAAGAAATAACTTACTGGTCTGGTCCCCAATGTTCCCATGATAACTCGTTTCTCTATCTCATCAAACATTGCTGGTTTTTCAAATTTCGTTTGGCTTTTCTTTCTTCCAGGAGCTAACCATTTCCTGTATTAAACAAACTTATACCTTACAATGCTATAAACTTGAATATCATATGCCATATAAATATCCAGCTTTGTATAACAATGGAAGTATTATATTGACATGCTGAAATTCAGGAACATATTTACAATATTTCAACAAATAACATTTGAGAAACTACAACTGAGAATTTCTAACTCATTGTGCTCATAGTCTATTTTTCTGATTTCCTAATATGTTTTTTGTTTGTCTTTTGTTAAATTTGTGTGTTTGTTTCTTGTGAAAGGTTATAAAGTTGCTATTTATTTTTTTATCATTTTTCCATACATCATTATTCACAATAAATAATAACATTAATAACAAGTCTGTGTTTCTAATTTCTTATCTTCTAAGTTAAGACTGTTGAAAAATAATTTTAAAATCTCATTTCAAGAGCACAAAGTTCATGTTTTCTTTAATAACTTGGAGTTTGGTATTTTTGTTAATACTTTTTCTCATCAGAGACAAAATCGCATGCTCCAGTAAATTCAACACATAATTTTGTTTCACAACAGTGGAACTTAGTATGACAGTTTTTTGAAAATTCAAATGCTTATAGTGGTGCTCATTATAACAAATACACTTTCCATGTGGTCATATGGTAGGCCTACGTCTTGTTTGTTATTTCCACGATCACCACAATACATTACCTAAAACTACTCTTTCTTTTATTGGCTGGTGATTCTTCTCTTCCAGCTTGATCATCTCCATAGGCTTCTGAAATAATGAACATAACTACTAAATCCATGAGCATACACAACCCCCACACTCTGTGAGCATACCCCACACCCCCACACACAATCCCCATATCAGAAAATCAATAAGAACAAACAAACCAAAGAATTGGTCATTATACACCCCCAGTGTAAGAGTTCAATATTCAATTTTGTTGGACTAAACTTAATTTACAATAGGATTTAACCAATAAAGATGGCCAATGTTAGTTGCTGGGTAAAAAATGACATTGAAAAAATAGAATACATCCTTGGCTTTCAATTATTTAGCTGTGATAGTTCCAGAAAGGTGCTTCCGACGCATGAAATTAATAATTCAAATCTAAACTTTTTTTGCCATATAAACCAACTTATACGATTTGTGACAAAAACAACATTAACATAATGACAAGAAAAAAGCATGTATAATCATATTAAACAAACTAATGAAAATAGTTCAAAATTCAATTATGAGTCCCCTATCCTTAGTGCCAATGACTTTTTTTTATAAAGGAACCTATGCTTTCTACCTGTTTTTGTGTTGATGGGCAAAGAATATTTATATTTTCATTTTCATTGAGGCTATCAAAATTTTCTATACTTTTAGCCTTTGTTAATTTTTCAATAAAAACTGGTCTAATGGAAGCGTTTTTCCTGCAATACAAAAGAAAATGTTTTTCATCCTCTGTATTGCAGGACTGACACAACCGGTTTTCCCTAGGGATTTTTAGGTGTCTCCCTTTTTTTATTATGCATTATTAAGGCAAATTTTGGGATATCAAATGCAAAGCTAGTAATTTAAATTTAAATTGAAACCATGTAGGCAAACCCTTTGATGTTGCAGTTGTAGGAGTGTACACATCCCTATTCATTCTAAAATATTACCTACTTAGAAAATGGCTTTAATCTTCTTCAATTAATGTTCTCTACACAAAGACAGTAATTCACTATCAAGGTTGTCAAATTATGCTAATGTACATTGTGTATTTAAAGCTCAAGTAATAATGCTTGTAATTATTGAAACATATGCTAACACTTTTCATTATACCTTTACTACTTAAAGCAAATATTTTGTCATTTCCTTGCTATTTAAACATGATATTTTTTTTTCTTAGTTGTGTGCCATCTGTTCTGGTTGCAATTTTCTCCTACAAACCTCATTATGAGTTAAAATTCACCCTAATGACTTGGTGGAGTCAGAGGAGTTTTATATGTCATATTGATCATCACAAGTACCACTTTTGGAGCAGGAATGCTTACCTTTCCATAGCACCCGAGATCAACCCAGGTTTTTAATGGTGTTTTTCTGGAAACTAAATGTTTTCTATGCAAAATTTCTAGATATACATAATTGAACCTGTGGATAGAGTTTTAGATTTATATGACTGGAATCTTTCTGTCAAGTTTCAGGGATATGGGATGAAAAGTGTAGGAGGAATTGATTACAAGAAACTAGTTAGCACTTTTGTCCATCTATCCACCCTTCTGCCCTGTTTGATTCACACTTAATCTTATGATAGTTGTGTCTGTGCTGAGTGGGAAAATTAAGTGATATTATTATAATATCAAACGAGTTAGACTTTAAAGAGAGAGTTGTAATGTCAAATGAACGTGGTAATATTGTTGTTCCAGATATCAAAATTTTGGGAAAGGCAGCATATTTTCTAAAAAAAAATATCAATTTGTTTAACATTGAAACAACAAAGGGGAAAAGCATCCATAACCAGTTTTCTTGCATTTGCCATGTGACAGGTAACTTTAATTTGCCCAAGGTAACAAGCTGGACTCTGGTATTTTTAGCTTTGGATTTACCCGATACCCTCTGGAACAATAGCATTTGCACATTTTGAGTTCCAACACCTGATACACAATAGTATTTGACAAAACTAAAATAGAATTGGTCTTTGCCAGAAATTTAATCGACACATGATTGCTTTTTGCTGTAATGTTGACCGCCAAAAAGTTTGAAAAAAACTTACCATCAATATCCATACTGTTTCTGTTTCCTGGTCCACGAAGCATTGGTATGGGTTTCAATGATGCTATGGGTACCAGCCCCTGACATGGTTCACCATCTTCACAGTTGATTGCACGCACCATGCACCAATTGGGTTCACCTGGTGTTGGGTCAATAACCTCGACCTGTTGACCTTTGAGCACTGTGATTTCTGAGTTGTTGGCAGCAGAATAGTTCTCAATAACGACTGTAACATCAGGCTGAAAAGAAAAAAGTAAAAAATCTGTATTTCAAAATTCAAGGTATTCACAACACATTGACTGCTGATCGTCATAGTTCAAGCGACCCCATTTCTTAATATAATATGCTATTTTTGGCCTCTTTTTACTTTAGGAGTCCCTGTTCTTTAGGGTTAGGTATTGTTTTAGGTGAGGGTAACCGGTTTTAGGGTATTGCTAGTGTTAGGGTTGATATTGGTTAGGTTAAGTTTGTTGAATTTAGTGCAAAACTTCACTGAAGTCAATAGATTGTTTCTTTACTTTCGTCCTGTTCTATATAGTGATCACATGGTCTACTAAGGTACAGGTTCCTGAATCTCAAGCTTCAAAAGCTACATTTGAAGATTCAATGATAAACAATGCATCTTATTAAAAAATAAATGGGAAATGTGTCCATGGGACACTGATGATGCCCCCGCTTGCATATAAAGTTATAAAGGGACTTAATTCAAGAACAGTAAAAGTGACGCTACCCAAATTCAAACTTGATCTGAGTTTTGTGGTAATTAATAAGCATTGTGTATAAGTTTCATAATATTTGGTTGAAGCAAACTAAAGTATGAGAACGGAAACGAAAAATTCAGAAATTTTTCCATTTGTAAAGGGGCATAACTCTAGACCGTTAAAAGTGATGACACCAAAATTCAAACTTAATCTGTGTTTTGTGGTAATAATCATTGTGTATAAGTTTCATAAAGTTTGGTTGATCAAACTCAAGTTGGAGAACGGAAATGAAAAATTCAGCAATTTTTCAATTTGTAAAGGGGCATAACTAGAACGGTAAAAGTGACGCCATCAAAATTCAAACTTAATCTGTGTTTTGTGGTAATAATCATTGTGTATAAGTTTCATAACATTTGGTTGAGGCAAAATAAAGTTAGAGAATGGAAACCAATTTTGGAACGTACGGACGTACAGATGGACAAGGGTAAAACTTAATACCCCCTCCGCTACTGCAGGGGCATAAAAAATGAATCACTGGCAAAAGAAGTTCCACAGAACACTGTCTTAATCTATTTATGATAAATACTGCTACTATTATTTAAATCTCTCTCTCTCTCTCTCTCTCTCTCTTGTTTCTAGTTAAACCTGATTTAATTGGGCTTCTATGCCTAACATTTCTTGAAATGACACCAAAAATATTGAATAGACCAGTACAAAAAAAAATAAGTTAACACATAAATGAGTTTTTTTGTACTTCAGTTTTTTTCTGTTTCCATTGCAACATTGTTATACATAGTAAATATAAAGAAACAGTAGCAAACCAATATCCAGTAAGAAAGAAGATCACATGGTTATATCAAAAGCTTCTGTACTTCACAAATATTCAAATGTTATAACTAACCCATGAATAGCTGCCCTTGAAAATGATATAAATTTAATATTTTTTGTACTTTTATCAAAACGAAGATAACCACAGCATCCCTACAGAATGAATACATTTATTACATATTAATGTTTTATCAAAATCACAGCTTGAGTTATCAGTTACTGCTGCAAAACATACAATCTATTAATTCAACAAGATATTTTTGATTTTACGATAAGATCATTTTTTTCCTCCAGATATAAATATGGTTCTTTTTTTTATATTTTTTTATCAATAGTAAATGTCTGTTTAATCTGATTATACCCATTGGCATAACTAGAATTACATAAACAACATGGCATATTTTTGATTTAACAACATTTATCATACAACTGTTTACCAATTATCCTTGCAGGCTAATCAGACCACAATAATTCCCTTAGTTCCCAAGAGTGGGGTATTTCTTTCGAAGTTTTCTTCAACTGTTTTCTTTGAAAAGGTTACTATTTAAGTGGATATATCATGCATATATATTGAAATAAGTAAAACATGTGGAAAATATTTATTGTTGAAAGTGAAAGTAGTGATTTTGGCCAAAGTGAAAGTAGTGATTTTGGCCAAAGTGAAAGTAGTGAATTTGTTCAAAGTGAAAGTAGAGTAGAATTAAGCCTTCAGCATTTATGGCCCAAGACCACAATTAATGATCCCACTTTTCGTTGTCCACGAATATAGTTCCTTTTAATTAGAGTGTATTTTTTCTTAATTTTTTTTCTTTCCCTTCCTCACTCATTTCTTAGTTTTTTTTGGGTGGAAATAAAAGAAGAGAGGTGAAATAAATTTTTGGATGTTGTATTTTAACTGATTTTGATATGGAAAGAGTGATTAGGCCAGGTGCAAAAAGGTGATATTTACAGTTTTCGGAACATCTCTTGACTTGTCCATAGGGGTATGGATGTGTATTGGCTAAATTTGTAAGAGTCATTGGTTCAATCTTTCTGAATTTTGGATATATTTTTGGACTAGTACTATACATTACACACACAAAAGATTTGACAAAAATGCATGGTGCAATTTTTTTAATGAAACAAAACGTTATAAAGAACTAATAGGGGAATTTAATTGTGGTCTGTGGCCTAAGAGGTGAATTCAGGAAATATTGAATTTGTACTTTGACAACTTCCCTGAATGATCTATTGGTACTAATTTGTCAAACTACATGAGAATAAATGATTTCCACTTTTATTTGATAGAAATTTTGTAAAAAAGTGACATTTCAGCCTACATGACCAAAATTGAACTTTTTCAGTTGTTTCAATATTTTTACAAAAGTAGCATGCTTACTTTCTCTCTGATAGATTTTTCTGGTTTTCTATTTGTGTTTGTGGTATCTAATGTAGATGTTTAACTCATTTTTGAACACTGAACACAAAAAAAAAGTAGATAAAATCAGAATAAGAGTGCAAAATGTGCTGCTTTAATGGTCTTAGTCTAACGGTCAGTATGAAGCAAGTGAAAAATGAGGTTCTATGCACATATAAGTTGAATTCCTTTTAGCAGATTTCACTGAATCTGTATCAAAAGCACTTATTACTGGTTGTTTGACCTTGTCTGTTTCACAGACTACCTTAATTTTCTTTTGTTTGATAGCTAGTGGTTAAAATATTGGCCTTTTGAGGCTGAAATTTCATGCCGGTTTTAAAAAGTAAAGTAAATAACTTTGCATCAAATCATACTGTCTACATATATAGTTGAAAGTGACAGTCTTGTTACATCCAGGCTCCATGTTTTATCATATCTAAACAAAGATTTGAGCAAAAAGAAGCATATCTCTATCTCCCATATCATTTATAAGCTTTTTAATATGCAAATGTGGGGAAGGACCTAAATTGACAACCTGTTTTTTTAAGCTTGACATTACTGAAGACCATTTTATTCACATGTGTTATGCTATTTGAAACTTATATTTCCATTAAAAGTACATTTATAACATGTAAAAGGTTTTTTTATAACTTAACAACTTCTGAAAATTGTGGTAAGTGAAAAATATTACATTTCATATAAGGCCTGACTTCATTTGAAAACCTCTATTTTTTGGCACAGGCTCATATAAAATTTACTTCTGGCCATTTTTTATAAGTCTGAAACATGAAGTATGCTATCTGTTGCTTTTAATAGGTGATAACTTATACATAGAGACATTAAAAAGTGTAAGTTTTGGTATATTTTGGTTTTTAGAAGCCCAAATTTGATAGTTGAAATTGTTCTAATTCAACGCCACAATTCAGCACCCAAAGTTCAGATATAAAAAATACCACATTTTTTATAATTGGTATCATATGGCTTTGAAACTTTGTAAACTGTTTTATAATACACTAAGCTTAAATCTTGCCAAGTTTTATTAGAATTGGTCAAGTTTTAGACCCCTAATAGGCCCAAGACCACAATTAATGATCCCGCTTTTCGTTGTCCACGAATATAGTTCCTTTTAATTAGAGTGTATTTTTTCTTAATTTTTTTTCTTTCCCTTCCTCACTCATTTCTTAGTTTTTTTTGGGTGGAAATAAAAGAAGAGAGGTGAAATAAACTTTTGGATGTTGTATTTTAACTGATTTTGATATGGAAAGAGTGATTAGGCCAGGTGCAAAAAGGTGATATTTACAGTTTTCAGAACATCTCTTGACTTGTCCATAGGGGTATGGATGTGTATTGGCTAAATTTGTAAGAGTCATTGGTTCAATCTTTCTGAATTTTGGATATATTTTTGGACTAGTACTATACATTACGCACACAAAAGATTTGACAAAAATGCATGGTGCAATTTTTTTAATGAAACAAAACGTTATAAAGAACTAATAGGGGAATTTAATTGTGGTCTGTGGCCTTATTTTAGATTCAACTCCTACCATTGGCATGTTTTCAGGACTCTCAAAAGCCCAGAATGCAGCAAATTATGGATTGTGCTTGGAAAAGCATATTTGATTAGAATAATAATGGTCTATAAGCAGTAAAGCTTATTTCATGTTTGAATTATGCATTTCAATCCAATTTGACTTTTACAAAGAAATGCATTATAAGTAACAATATGGTAAAAATTATTGTGGTCTAAGGCGCTGCAACACACACTTCTATTTAAAGAAATTATAATAATGATCATATGAGTAACATTATGGTTCAGGATAAACAAAATGAAAATCATTTGATGTATTTTCAATTACCTCCAATTTAAGATGGGTTAGGTTTGTCGATCTTAAATGTGATTATATTTTTTACCAATTTTCATTTTTAAACACAAGGAAATTTAACCTTCAACAAAATTACAGTTTTGTATTGAAAAAAAAACTTTGGGAACATTAAATATTACTTTTGTTAATTTCATTATAAAGCTATTAAAAAACATAATTAAATTACTCTGTTTACAGCATTTGGAGATCTATATTAGATTAAAGAAAATTAAAGGGATTTACTGTTGATATTTTACGCCCATCCAGCATAAAATAGCAATATTGAGGACAAAATTTTAAAGGAAAGCAGAGGCACATGTTACAGTAAATGTTTCCTCTCTGACAGATTTCATACTGAGCCAGGAATGATAAATAATCTTGAGTCAGGAATCTGATGTTCAGTAGTTGTTGTTTGTTGATGTGGTTCTTAAAGTGTTTCTCGTTTCTCGTTT